AGTTGAACAGTTAAATTAGTTATCTTCTATTCTGAATTTGTTTTTGTTGTTTTTTGTTTTAAAATTTCAATGACAGTTGTCCCTTTAGCTAATTCTGATAAAATAATAAAATAAAACAAAAATATAGCGGGAAGTTTCAATTTTAAAATATGATTTAACTGTACTATTAATTAATAAGACTTATTACATAGGTATTTAGATGAACATCGAGAGAAGACAGAGGTGTTGAAGATATACTGTGGGGGCAAGAAAAACCAACAACAAGCACCAATTACGACTATTCGAGGCGGGAAGAGGGGTGGTGGTGAATTAAAGGAATTCGTCTCTTACCTTTTACCTCAGACAGAGTAATTTCAACTACAGACGGCACAATTGAAGATGTCCGATTCGAACCTCCATTACTCTGAAACCGATGTGAAGCTAAAGTGAACGCACTATAAGGAACACAATTCGGGCTTGCAACACTAATATATCAAGTCAGTGGATTTTGTTCAGTTCAAAGACTTTTTGCATGCTCTTCAACAAGAGTAGTTCCAATCACCGAAAATACTCACTGAGTCATGAGGAAAATAAAAGACAAATTCTGCGAAGAAGATTCTTCTTTATCGACGAAATCATCTTCAAAGGGCTGTACAGTCGTATTTATATTTACTAAAAGATGCATAGTAGTCTGTCATTGAGTAATAAGTGCACGGGGTGACATAAGTGATGTAATTACTCAGAAATGACTTTAGAAGTAGAAATGAAGGTTGTAAATTACGTAGTACTCAACGGTACAAAAGGAGAGAGTGTAAGAGATTTGATTAAGTTAAAATTGTATGGAGGGCTTAATCATGCGCTGACATCAGTTAGAGAACCACTGGAAAACCAACAAGGAGTACTGGACAGCTGTTTCCTCCGCCCTAGTTTGGGACTCTTCAGCAGTACACACCCACCGCCAGGGTTGGAACCCAGGACCTTCTGGTTACAAGGCGAGCTCGTGGCCATTGAGCCACTGGGACCCGATCCGATGGTTCTTGAATTCTAACTTCTGCCAATTCACGACATAGCGCGACCACTTCGCACAATGTCTTCTTCGATGAGTTACTGCCTCATCTCCAACCTGCTGTACCCTACTGGTCACGACTTCCCACTAGAAGCCCAGGTTAACTGCCTGAATAGGGCCAGTCATTAGTGAGCATCAGATTAATTTTCAAGTATTGGTTTTGTAGGGATTTTGTTTGATTGCATGGAGGATTTAATCATGAGCTGACATCAGTTAGAGAACCACTGGAAAACCAACTGGGAGTACTGGACAGCTGTTTCGTCCTAATTTGAGACTCCTCAGCAGTACTCCCAGTACTCTCAGGTTTTCCAGTGGTTCTCTAGCTGATGTCAGCACATGATTAAATCCTCCATACAATCAAACCAAATCCCTACATAACCAACACTTGAAAATTTAGTTAAAATTGTTGTTGAGTGAGAATAAAGGTGGTATCTAAGTGTCAATTTAACAAGTATGAATAGGGTGTGAAAATGTACAAAAGGAACATGTGAGAGAGTGGTAATAGTGAATTAGTTATTAAAATAAAAGCAAATTAATAATTAAAATAAAATTAATCTTATTACAGGGAACGACTAGTGAAGAGGTTAAGACCAAGGTGGAATAAGAGACTGGACAAACTTTTGTCTATATACAGAGAGAGTTCAGGGTTGTATTGACGAATTGCCAACGCCTTCGCCATATACAAATGCTGAAACCTGACATCCTTTGTACCATTTAGCCTCACCTTGTAGATAATCTCACTAGGTGATTCTGGTGGAGCTGCGTGGCTTTAGTTCACTAAGTGCTCGAGAATTGAACTAGTATATGTTTCCAACAGGATACTGCAGACTTTCTTCAACAGATGTCTTTACTGTCTCGATTCCGAAAATCGACCGGTCAGAAATGATAAAGTAACAAGGAACTCTCACAGTCAACCAATCATAAATCTATTGCCTAGAGAATATACTGAAGACGATGAATATGGACTGGACATACATCGCACATGGGTCCAAGGATGATATGAAGGAGATTATGTCAGGGAATTGTGAAAACCTAAGAAAAATCATTAAAACTATTTGAGAAAGACAGCAGAGAACAGAGTGAAGTGGAAATGTCCTGGTGAAGCCCTAGGTTCCACTCAGAAGGTAACGGTCAAACGTTTCATCAGTCAACAAATTCCGCTAGTTCGTTTTTAGCGTAAGGTGGAGAGGAGAATTATGGCTAGTGTCCCGAAACAAGAACGCAAAACATCTGTTCAGTGCTGCATAGTTTTTAATCTTAGGGATAACATCTACCATTTGAAACCAATCACGTCTCCGTAAATCAACACTGAAAAACATATGCGATCACATAACAATCGACAAAAAAAGGTTACGCGATCTGGGTAGTCAGAATGTTACATATTTAACTTGTGGATGGTGACTAGCAGTGAAATCCAGGATGCGTATTTCGTCCTGTTTGGGACTCATCATCCGGATTTACCTGCAATTCCCAGGGAGTGATGATGTTCTCACCGAGGCTCGAACCCAGTGACCATAGTTCAAATGCCAAAGCATTACCCACTAGACCACTTGGGCTACGAGAGCCACCCCTTGTGCAACGGGTCATATTAATTTAATTGAATTTTAGATTTTCTCTCTTGGTGGGAACATCATTACTCACCGGGAAATGTAGGTACATCCTCTGGCTGACGAGTCCCAGAAAGGACGAAATGCGCATTCTGTATTCCACTGCTAGTCACCATCCACAAATTAAATTCTAATTGAATGCCCAGATATCGTCGAAGCATCTACACAAGAAGCCAATAGACATGTCTACCGGAGACCGAGCACTTCGGTCCAATCAATCGACGAGAAAATCTAAAATTAATTTAAATTACATAGTTGACTAGTGGAAAGTATTGTGAGCTTTATTCCACTATCTAATAGCCAAACTGTCAAGGTTGGAAACTGAATGAATTTTCACACTCTTAATACATTTTGACGATTGACTGAAATAATGTTTAATAAGGTAAGACCAAGCAAGTCTTTTAAAGTGCTTTCTGATACATCTTCAGTCTACAGCAGAAGCTCTCACACTATACAGGGAGTACTCTGAACTGAGTATACAAAAGAAGCTTGTCAAATGATGTTCGCCAGAATTTATAGAGATTTGGATAAATTTGAATGTAGATTTCGTCAAAAACCGTGAACACCCCGGGTCTGATCCCTAATAGGGCAGTGGGTGTGCACCATTGAAGAGTTCCAAACTAGGACGAAACAACTGTCCACGTTAACCACCAACTACCCCCCTTCGGGCGTCTGGTGGGGGGAGAAATCTAAACGAAGTCATCTCATTCTTTTACCTCGATTGGGCAGCATCATATTAACTACAACTGGGACAGATGAAGATGTCAGCGCCAGGGTTGGAAAAGTAAGACATACATACATTCATTATTCTGAAATCAGTGTGAAACTGCAGTGTACTTAGGACAAGTAGTAAGAGAGAATTTGATCTATCCTTCACCAAAATTATTCCTAACAGGCTACGATAAACTCGTATCAGCATCAGCCTTCGCTGGCTTCATACTCAACATCACGAGGAACCAGCCAAGAGCCTATCGCTCCATAAACAAGTACAAGGAAACGAAGATAGATTGGACATGTGCTGTAGAAACTGTTAGTTGACATCACACGTCACACCGCGAAGTGGAACCCGGATGTCAAACAACAGGTTACGCATGGGCCTAAGGGTGTAATATGGAGAAAGGAATGAAACCATATGGGAAGTGGTGTAGCCATCTAAAAACAACTCCAGTGAACAGAATGAATGTTCCACAATGAACCCAAGGAACGAATACATTTCGAACAATCCGATCCCTCACAAATTTACTTGTCAAGTCATATATATATATATATATATATATATATATATATATATATATATATATATATATATATATATATATATATATATATATATATATATATATATATATATATATATATATATATATATATATATATATATAGGTTGAGTTAACATCAATCTTATGGTTCATCTCGATTGGGTGTTTAGCTATAGACGAAGTTGGTAGTCTGACACCTGCATCTATTGGTTTTTCACAATTCATTTGTTTTTCTAACCATTTTGGGATATGCTTTCCCACCCTCACATGCAAAGCACGACTAGTCTTCCATATGTATGTGTGTCCACACACACACACACACACACATGAAAATTGGTAAATTGTGTGGGATGAGACATAATCACTTGTGCACTTTTGAGGTTTTCAGTGGAGCATATTTTTGGCTTTTTCGGCAATTACAAGCTGGGCTGCATACGGATGATCGAATTCAATCTTTGTCTAAAAATCCTACTGTTTATTTCCCCGTTATATGGTAATTTGATGAAAACATTTTTCTTAAGGACGGTTTGGATTGTAGGTTTAGAGGCTAATTGACTTCTACGCCTGTTTAAAAGTTTTAAAGGATATCCCCACTTTCAACAAGAGTATCCATCAATATTGCGTTTTCTTTGTCTATAACATCAGCCATGCAAATACACTGAATCCTCCTATACAGACACTTCACCAAGCCTCTCTGTTACTGTAATTGACAGAAACTGTGAAACTTAAGGTGCTGCTCTGTCCAAGTGGGCTTTCTGTAGATTGATTGTCTTATTGAACCATCATCTCTTCGACTCAGAAGTATGTCTAAAAATGCAAGCTGGTTGCGACTTTCTTCCTCGCAAGTAATAATCGGTGAACATTCTACCATTGAACCAACAGGCATCTCCATCTATTCAGTCGGCATTTATTAGTTCAAGAACAACTGTAACTCACTGTGATCCTAATTCTGTTTAAATTAACCACTGAACATCTTATTTGTTAGAGATCATTTTCAAATCCCTTTTGTTTTTTTTAATACATTAAAACGAGATAGAATTCAATGTTCAGTTAAATAATCAATAATTCATGTGTTTTGTTTCATTTTAGAAGCGCCTGGTTTAAAAGATCCCGGTGTAATTGATTCTATTCAAGAAAGAATTCAATGTGCTTTAGAAGAACATGACAGATATCATTATTCACATTATCAACCATTTCGTTTCGGTCGTCTACTTTTACGCCTACCAAAGCTGAAACAAACCGCCTCCTCACCATCTTTGTTACTGTGGTTACAGGAAAGATTTTTACCAACTATTGACTATGGACAAAAAAGGATAGAAGTGTTGATTAGAGAAATTTTTGAAAAATCACTTTCTTTTCAAGGAATTCAAGTGATGCAGAAGTTCAGTCCAACTTTTGGACAGAATTTAATGTCGCATCTAAATCCTGCGAGGTATTCAGTCTTACAGCCACCACCGGCACCAGCCTTCTCTTCTCCTCGTCACTTTCTACAGTCATCTAGAGGATTCCCAATATCTCAGTCAACTCCTATGTCGACAGAGAAACCTGACAAGACCTCACTTCCATTGTTCAGTCCACTTACAAACTGTGTAACCAAGCACCCTGATGATATCCTACCTTTAAAGACTCCTTTGACCAGATATCTATCCTCCATAGGCAGTTTAACTGTGCCTTCATCACAGTGTGAAGATAACGGCAGCGGTGTTGTTCCCTTCGACTTCATTAACAGCAATCCTCCCAGTCATAGTTCGGCATCATGGTTGTCGGACGTATTTAAATCTGCAAAAACTCCTACAATTCCTGACAGCAACGATTATCCTGTCAGAAGTAAATCAATGAATGACAATTATAACTCACATGAATTTTCACCGCATAAAGATACTACTTATAATGGTAGTAGCAGTAGTAGTAGTAGTATGAATGTCATGACATCACAGTCATCACCATCCTTATCACCATTATCGAAAATATCCTCGTCTTGTTTATCCATAAATTCTACACAGACAAATAATAATAGTAATAATAATAATAAAACCTCTGAAACTTGTTCAATATCCCCGTTGAATAATACCAATAATGTTGAACACATTGAATCGAGCAAGTTAAACAGTGAACTTGACACAGCTCAAAATAATTTTAGCAACTATTCAAATGAATTATTTAAGAATTTATTAAATTCGTCAACATCATTAGATGAGAATGAGAAAAATTCCCAGCTACAAATTTATTATGCATTATTACGTCAACATTTAAATTTATTATTACATAATCGAACATTATGACACAAGTAAAAAAACAACTTTTTAGTGCTTTCCCTTGTTTACTGTGCTTTCTCTAAACCGAACAAGATACAAAATCACACAAATCTGTGCACAACCAACCAGACACTCAAAAGTGTAACTGACCACCACTGCTCTATCCTCGCATTTTATTTGTACATTTAAAAAAAGCAGAATTGTCTCCATAGTTTTATTATTTATGCATTTAAACAAATCACTTGAACATTGTGTGATAAAGCGAATTAAGTATTCAAATTTATTTGGTGCATTTATTGATTTACAATTCAAATAAATCAACATATATATACATTGACTAGTCATTTTATTGATTAATTTACTGACAGCCGTGTTACTTATATATATTTTATTTAAATTTACCGCTTAAACTGATAGATAATAGTGAGTATGATTTATTAAAACAAAATTTAACATTGAATATTGAATTGAATATCTTTTGTTCTTAATATTGTTGAATATGTGATATTACATTTTACTGCACAGACAACTTGTCTTTGAGCAGAAAAAGAATATACAGAAGAATTCGATGTGACCTAATTTTCGTGTTATTGAATTGCTTTCGACAAACAAAGAGACTTTAAAAAAAAATTTTTTGATTTAACGAGGAATTACTAATGAGATAGCATTAAGTCCGTTAACATGATAATAATGCTTACCTTATTATACCACCTATATAACACCAGGTGCGTCGGTGGCATAGTGGTTAGTACGCTCGCCGACCATGCACATGGTCTGGTCAAGCTACTAGCTTGAAGCCCTGATTCCCACTGGGGAACGTGAAAGGAAAAAAATAGCACCTAACACGAGAGATAGAACTCAGGTACCTATGATCAAAGACGGTTAACCAGAGATTTCATGTTTTCCATCTCACAGCCATAAAGGAGGGCGGAGCACAAACTGCTGCTATGCAGTACATACGTCCTTTGATTGACAGACAGCCGGATATCACGTCTACGCCAGAGAGGGAATAATTCGGCAGGCATATGCCAAATGATTCTTCTGTATCAGTACCGAGATTTAATCAGCGGTCAACCTGCTAGCATCGGCTGATAAAGGGAAGTAAGTGGTCAACACGCTCAACTACCATTTCACCCCCTGCCTAGCTTTAAGAAAGGAGTGAATCGATGTAGTCCACTCCTGTACAATCACCTTAATTCAAGTTCACAGAAGGAGCGAATCGTATGCAAAAACAATCGAAGATTACTGCTCCACAAGGTGTTTAGAAAACTCTGCATTTTTTCAGCATCTTCACCTAGATTCAGGATTATATATCATGTTTCGTCCTAGCCTTGTGACTCTTCAGTAGTATGCACTGTGGAGGGGAACCAGAAAGAAAAAGTTTCGTGATGAGCATGTCACTTTTTACCAATGGGCAGAAATCATGAGCATATGATTTCGTTAGATATTTCTTCATTGTACACCAATGTACCACTAGTAGACACTATCTGCTATCTATGCGAGCATATTGATTCAAATAGCAAGAACATTGGCTAACCAACTGATTATCTTAAACAACTATTATTGAGATACACACTGAATGTGCAATTTAGATTTAATGATGTCATCTACAATCAAAGGGATGGAGTCGCCGTGGGGTCTCCTTTAGAACCGCTCTTAGCGGAAGTCTTCATGGGAAGCTCAGAGAATGGCTCACTAAAGGAAACCATCGAGAGTTTGTTTATGTATAAAAGATATATTGATGATGCCTTCATTATATGTGATGAAAACTCTTCAACTGCAGAACTTCTTGGTATATTTAACGGTTCTCACCCATCTTTGCTTTTCACGATCGAAGAAGAGTCGAACTCCTCCTTTCAATTCCTTGATGTTAAGCTAGATAGAAGAGAGAATGGAACGCTGTTAATTTCGAATTACGGAAAGCCAACATTCACTGGGCAGTATACTAAATTCAACAGTTGGGTACCTTTAGGGGGAAAGAGAAATCTTATTCATTCCTTATGCTCCAGAATTCGTAAAATCTGCTCTCCAGAGACAATCGATAGGGAACTAGATAACCTTCGATCAATTCTCCTTAACAATGGTTATCCTACAAGGTCCATTGAACATAACATCAAGAAAGAATCCGCCCCTAGACAAATCATATTACCAAAGAAAAAACTGTTTATGAATCTGGCATTCAAAGGTGACACTATTTCGGAATTGATTAAAAATAGTTCATCTGAATGTATTAAACGCACTTTTCATGCAGCTGACTTGCATCTAGTTTTTACCAGCCGAAATGATTAGACAATGCGGCAAGGATAGATTACTGCTTATGTCCACATCTATGTGCATTTACTCTTTTACCTGCTCTTGTGGAGCTGACTATATTGGACGTTGTAAGCGTAATCTCCGAAAACGTGTAGCTGAACACTATCCGGTTTGGTTAATGAAAGGCGAAGGAAGAACCGCGAAATCATCTATTTGTGATCACCTGTTAGATAAAGTCTGGTCATTCAGCCCCACGTGATTCACCCTTCAAAGTTATCTACATGGCCAAATCGAATCGATCCAAAAGTTTACGTTTTCTTCACTTATGCAGCGATAGCTAGCCGAAGCTTTAGTTATACATGAACAAAAACCTAAATTATGTGTTCAAAAGCGTTCTGTCAAACCCCTTTTTCTACCCTTGGTCATAGTAATGTTCTTTCTAGTTTTTATTTTATTCTATTTTATTTTACCACTTGAATTCATTCCACTTCACTTCACATCTTCATTCTTATCGTAATCGTACTCCTAATTTTTAAAATTTTTAGACAACACTTGACATTTTTGTTATAGAACAATCTTTAATATTTTTGTAATTTATCCACTTCAACTCTTCCCCTTATAACTTTTATCACAAATATATGTATATTGACTGAGCAGTTAATTATTTAGTGCCACTTAATAACCCCTTTTTCTGTAATATAAATACGACTGTACAGTTGGCTTGAAAATGAAGTCGTTAAAAGGAAATTTCTTCGCTGAACAAAAACGAAAACTGTGTTTATACTTAGAAATCATAATTGTCAGAGGTTTCTGCAATGAATCTAGTTTCCCTATCAAACAAATTCACTATCTAAATTAAGCACAGGTTAGGATGAAATAATCATCACCTTTTTAACCCTCACCTGTCGCTTATTTTAAAAAGTTGGAAAATAAAATGAAAGTCTATTCACCTCCAGTTAAAACTGAAAAGTCATTTATTGATGATGACTGGCAGTGGAATTCGTCGCATGTCTTTCTTCCTGCCTGAGAAATCGTTAGATGTATCCTTGTGACTGATAGTATCCTGATTAAGATTCATCAAATGCAATAACCCCATTATTTTCAAATGTCAAATGGTCATCTACCAGACTGATGGGTCATTAAGTCTACTGATATATATTTGACCGCTTCTTGTCTCCTCGCCTTCAAACAACTACGCGGGGAAAAAGAAACTTTATATAAATCCAAAGATAAGTTACGACTTACAAAGATTAATGCTCAATTCAAATCTGAAATCAAAAATCTGAATGCTATGTATAACCATACACTCCTATCAGCATGTGGAAACTTTTCAATGAAATTACTGGCAATAGTAAACGATGTAATGTTTTTCCCTCTTATGATGTTAACGCTCTTAATCAGTCTTTTATACACTCTCCTTCTACTATAACGACTTCTAACGTTACTAATCATGTAGCTGATAACTTTCATGACTTCAATACTCTCGATGTTCTAAAATGTCTTAAAACGCTTAAGCCCTCATGTAGCCTTGGTCCTGATGGTGTACCTGCATATGTTCTAAAACAATGCGTAGATGCTTTATGTTCTCCACTAACTAACATTCTAAATGTTTCTTTCTCCAAAAACGTTGTACCTGTTCCATGGAAAGACATTAAAATAGTCCCTGTCCCTAAACCTGGAAATAGCAAGAACGTAAAGTTCAGACCTATTGCCATTACTTCCCCGTGTCTAAAGCTTATGGAAAAAAAACTAGTACTTCTTATACTTGAACCCTCCCTTAAAAGCTTCGAAGACCCCAAACAATTTGCCTACACACAAGGTAGGAGTACTTTAGACGCTGCAGCCATCTTGCACAACAGTATCGTCCCATCATTAGATGAAGGTGCCAAATACGTCCACTGCACCTTTCTTGACTTCACTTCTGCTTTCGACTCTGTACCTAGATGTCTCTTGCTAAATAAGCTCTCCATGACACAAACCAAATCCTGGGTCACTAACTGGTTGCATTCCTACTACTCTAACAGAATGCAGTATACCGTATACAAAGGCAAATCCTCCTCTGCTGTGCTCACTGAAGCTGTTGTCCCCCAAGGTGCTGTACTCTCCCCACTTCTCTTTTCTTTCTTCCCTTCTACATGACCTACCATCTTCAAATGACATTAATTTTGTCAAATATGCTGACGACCTGAATGTATCTTTGCCTGTCCAGTGTCAAAGTGACTGCTCCAGACTAAATGGCCTTTTGTCAGAAATCACCCAGTGGTTCAAGGAAAATGATCTAAACTTAAACCCCTCAAAATGCCAAACAGTCAATCAATTTCACCTTTAGGCATAAATGTGACCTAAACAAATTGGTTAACACTCACTAGGTGTGCAACATAGATGGCACTGAAACAGAGAAGAAGTCGTAAATTAAATATCTTGGCGTCATTCTATCTGATGTTCTTTCCTGGTCGTCTCATATCTTGATGATTTCTAAGAAAAAATATTCCGTCTTACCTTCTACATCAAGAAGTTAAGACATTCTGGAATAACCCAACCCAACCCTTACTCCTACGATTCGTTAACCCCTGCATCCTGCTTATTACTCTCTATATTGTCCCCCCTAGTTTTTCCAGGGCTACTGAAGAAAGACTATACCTTATTACGTAGGGTGTTAAAGGCTGCCAGCAGAGTAAGCCACAGGGTGCCACTCAACCAGCTTGTTAATATTTTAGTCGACAGCCACATGGACTCATGTGAGAATGGGCTAAATCCATTCTATCTATCTAACT